CTACCCGAGCGCCTCCGAAGGAGACCTAACAGCTCAAGAGCAGCTACTTCGCGAATGAAGGGAATGAGATCTATCTATGATAGTTGTACGGCAGAAATTAGTAAGAAGAAAGAATGTAAGTTGTGTTTGTTTATTAAATACCATGCCATTTACTTGCTATGGTATTTTAGTGGACGAAGCCGATTTTATTTAGCAAAATTAAAATTTCCAATGTACGCATACTTAAATTCGCAGAAAGCGTGTTTTGTACAACAGCTCGCAGAACTCTGCAGTTTTGATATTTTCTGTCAGTACAATATAAATTTTGATCAAAAATTGTGTGGGCGCATTTTATATTACATACGTTACGTCAATAAATACAACAGTACATTGTTAACTGCCTCACGTGCTCACGGCGCATTACAATGTAATTAACGAAAACACAGTGAATTATATAGCGGTTTAATTACACGACCGATGATTACTACGGACACTGTTTATATTTGCATAAGGCATGTACCACCACATAAAGTTTCTGTTATGTAAACAAAATTATAATTTATGTACCGGCCGATCATCATATTTATTCTAGGCCACATATTAAGTACTTTAGCTATTTCGATTTTATTGAAATAATTTTGTGGCTTTTAGAAAGTTGGTCACATCGGAAAGGGATGGTCGTGTCGGTACTTTGATATTGCTGTTGTTAATGAGAAATGGTGATGATAAAACAGGTAAATTAATTCATGTCCCGTCTGGTATTTAGCGGTTATTAGTATCGACAGAGACAGATTCTTGAGCCTTTGAGCCGATGTCTTATTTCTGTTTATAGCGGTTAAAATCAATTTTTTTCATATTTAAAAGGTTTGTATTTACTACGCGTATTAAGCAAATATAGCAAAAAAATACATGGCATATGATTAAAAAAAAACTGTTGTTTTGATTAAGTATATCTTAACAGGACTATCGCTTAGAACATAGACTCCACACACACATCTGAGCATGAAACTGTAAGTATTATGCTTACAATTAAAGATTGTGTGTTACGAAATTTGTAAATATAGAAAATGATAGAAGAAATAAAATAGCGACCTTACACTCGACTACACCAATTTAGAAATGCATTATCGATACGAATTGCTGCTGGTGTCCCTGAAAGATAAGTTAATAGCCATTCTGCGCTTTAAGAAAGCTATTATGATAGGACGGAATAAACAAGATGATGTCATAATAGTGACAATTAAAAAAATCAATGAATACCAGTACTTTGATTTGAGATTCATCATTTACTGCTCTCACGTCTTCAATAAGTTTAACATTTATTCTTTGTAATCAATCACCTTTCATCACTAACTTATCAGGTGACAATTGTGTTTTCTTGTAATCTTAGGAGGCGTATATAACAATATGGCATACCTGATCACGATAGGTTATTATTATTTATTGAAACAAGTAATTTCAGAAGCGCAACCAAGTCGTTGCGTAATGCTGAAAATTTTAATCTTTTTATTTTTTATAAAATATTTGATACTGCCTCCTTTTGCCTTCCTGCATAGTCGTATAACTTAATTTGAGTAGTCCGGGGGCATCTTGGGCACCAGGTACTAAATTACTGAAGCTTCGAACATATCGCTACGAATTATATGCTTAATGCCTAATAGTAATAGAAATTCAGTTAACTTTTTATTTTGTGTTCTGGCGTAGATAAGCCGATGATTTCATGAGTTCCTTGATCTATTTTGCCTTGAAATTGACTATTTATAATGAAATGATGATAATGAATAAAATACACTATAGCTCATTGAATTCGTTTGCAGAAAAAAATCGTATTAAATTCCAGTTATTCTGTACTTAAGTCGGAAGTAGGCATACAATTTGAGCCAATTTGCATTCCTTTCATGAAACTAAGTATTGGCATATTATAGTTTAATACTAATAGAGAAATAGACACTAATTATGCAAACGTTAACGGTTCTTGCTCCATTAGTAAGAACATTCAAAATATTTGCATTCCTATTCGTAAACAGTCCACTAAATCGAAGCAAACTCGAAAACTGTAGTGGTTTTAGCATTACAACTTCATTAGCTAACGACAAAACAGTAAACAAAGGATGTCGTGCAAACCGGCAAATAGCAAACTATTCCATAAATCTAGCGTGTCATAATATTTAAGCGTTTCATTCCAATAGCGCCTGTACTCAACAGGTGTAACAAACATTTTTATTACCTACTGGCATATTGGTCAATTGTTTTTAGATATTAAAAGTGGCTATAAATTAGTCCCCTCTCAGGATTGGCGATTGTGAGAGGATTGAGATGTTCATGTGTAACTATACTTTAAAATTTTGATTGTTGCATGGGTTAGAGTGTTATTGTGCTCGTTGTGCTTATATCAATATCGGCTGTAAAGTTATTGTTACTCGAAAACAAGAAATAAAAACCAAAACGGTTGAATTTTTACGAAGATGTTCAAAAGTATAAAGTTCATGTCTCAAAATGTGATGTTCGGAAAAACTTGGAGGTAGGATAACGGTTTACTGAGATGAAACTAAAAAAAAAGCTGACACGGGAATAATGTGCTACTTTAATATAAGTCTTATCATCATCAGCATCTCAGCTGAAAATGCTGTCCCCTGCTGAAAATAGGCCTCTCCTTCAGTGCGGCCTGTCCCTTGCCACCCGCATCCAGCGTGACCCAGCGATCTTCACTAGGTCATCGGTCCATCTGGTAGATGGCCTTCCCACAATGTACGGTTTTCCCGTACGTTTATCTATCTATATATATAAAAATGAATTGCTGTTCTTAGTTGTTGTTAGTCTGTTGTTAGTCTCGCTAAAACTCGAGAACGGCCGGACCGATTTGGCTAATTTTGGTCTTGAATTATTAGTGGAAGTCCAGAGAAGGCTTAAAAGGTAGATAGATATGAAAATGCTCGGAATTAAATAAAAATAACAATTTCGTTTTTCCTTTGATATGTCCCCCATCGGACGGAATCCTTTTGTTTGTTTTATACAAAAGTTTAGGTCTTTTATTTATCGATTGAGGCACTACGAAGTCTGCCGTGTCAGCTAGTATATTATAATATAAGTCTTTTTTATTGTTTTTATTGCTTAGATGGTTGGACAAGCTCACAGCTCACCTGGTGTTAAGTGGTTACTGGAGCCCATAGACATCCACAACGTAAATGCGCCACCCACCTTGAGATATAAGTTCTAAGGTCTCACGTATAGTTACAACGGCTGCCCCATCCTTCAAACCGAAACGCATTACTGCTTCACGGCAGAAATAGGCAGGACGCACGGACTCACAAGAGGTCCTACCACCAGTAAAAACAGTAAACAAAGGATTTTTAGAAAGTAAACTTTAGTTTAATTTAAGTGATAAGACGCCCGATGTTTTTATTCGTATCGAGCATTGTGATTATCCTCCCAGACAGGGAGCACTTTTTATTACGAAATACATACATAGGTATACTTGACAAGCGTTCACAAACGACTTCCACGATTAAGGATTATTAAAATTGTGTGAATGGCATCAAACCTGCAAGATTTCTATAATTGCGTAATTAGTGGGGGCAGGGCGGAGGTGTCACACGCATGGGTAAGGTTATTCCATTCTGTTTATTTCTGCCGCAGTCTTTTCGGCTTAAAAGGGGGAAAGCTGTTATGAAAAATTTAAACTTCAACGTCCAGTCTTAAAGTGGATATTGATATGGACATTGCGATGTCTACGGGTTTCAGTAATCATTTAATACCATATGGGCCGTGTGCAAGTCGAATAAAACAAAACTCAATATATAATCTAGGCCAAGAGAATCCAAGTAGTCGTATTTTTTTATTAGATATTTAAAGATAATTTCGTAGATTCCCTTAATTTATATCTTATGTTTTTATTCAACACCTTTAAATTAGCACAACGAACTCTGTAATGACACCATTACGTTGATATTATAATGTGACGACGATTTTCTCGGACCAGAATAATTCAATTGAGAACAAAAACATTTTCCTTTCAACGTTGTTATCATTTTACTGTTTTAATTTATGATGTATTTTAAAAATTATAATCTTCTTAGTAAATTATATTTTTTATTAGATTCTGTAAAGAGTACAATGTATATTATTATCCAATAGAAAACACAAGTTTAGAAACCTAACATAGGTACATTTATCCCTTTTCAGTAAAACGTTTAACATTTTATTTCATAAGACATTTACATAAAGCTTTTAACAGTGTATAATGAATGTTTAGTCTATTCTATTGTTTGAGCGCCGTAGAAAAATGGCCCCTCATTATTCGCACCGCGAGTTCAGCTCCCCGACGATTGATGAGCGGAATTAATATTAGGTATTTACCTACAAAATTGCCGTTTAGTATACCGAAAGTTAGTAATTTTTTTTTAGAGCTAAGTATGTATCCATGGCATCTCTACCAGCGCAGTACTCTTTTTTTGTAGAAAAAGACAGTTATACGAGACCCAAGAAGCCTTTTAACGGCATTTTGTACTACCTCTCGGGTATTGAATTTTTCCCTAACACGAAGTGGTCCAAACTTTGTAAAATATAAAAGTCTGTCAGCACACGGTCTGGTGAGTATGCTGGACGACAAAAAACTTCCAACACTAGCTCTTGTATCTTAGAGACTGTCTGTGGGCCCGTATGAGGTCGAGTGTTGTCGTGTAGGAGCAGCGGGGACGAGCGATTAATCAATACTGGTCGATAATTCGCGAGCTTCTCCAATCAGTGACCAGTATGCTTAGTGAGGTTTTTAACGTTCGACGTACGATAGCGTAAAAGTTAACTCATATTTGTATGGAATAGGATCGTTTGCCTACGTTTGCCGCTAGGGGCGCTGTTCCAACTGCATACAACATTGGGGTTAACTTTTTCGCTATCGAGAACGTTAACATTAATACTAGTGTCGCTGTCGGATAAGAAGACTTGCGACATGAAGCCTCAAAAAATATATTTATTTAATTATTGCGCAATTCTAATCGGGGTATGCATATTAAAAAGTCGAATGAGGTAGATAAACATTTTATTTTTCTTAAACATTTTCCATAAAAAAAACAACGATTTTAGACATTATAACAAAATAGATTTAAATTTCTTATGAATTAAGTATAACGCCAGGCCGCCTGTTACAATCGAGCCGCTCCTGAAAAAATACAAAACAATTTCGTTAGCACAGATAAAATATGCTAATATGGCGCCCTCTATAGTACTTCGAATCGTGCTAAGAACTAGCATTATCAAAGACCTGAAAACATTATCCAAAGTATTAGGTATTTCAACTAGGGGCATTCAATCAAGATTTTTGCAAATATTGAATACAGATTGATATCAATATTAGGCTGAACTCTGAATTTTAATTGTATAACTTTTGTCCCGCCATGCTCGTCGTGCCTACTCTAGAAATTTTCAATCTAATAAAGAGATAAATAAGTATTCTTATTTATTATATCATAGATTAATCTTACCAGATAGCGAAGCGACATGCAACTGAATGCTTGTATACACTGTATTTCGAAATTCTATAATCTCTGTTGTTTTCATAGGTTTTCAGAATTTTGTCTACCCTGGAATTACAGGAAAACATTATATAGATAAAAATTTTTGTGTTTATATTTTGGGAATGTAAAATAAGAAAAAACGAATATGTAATACAAAAGAAATGTATTGCTTCAGTAAAATTTTACATTCGCATCTCAACGGTCTTCGTCTGTTAATGGAATCATAAAACACGTTTTCTCAGTTTTCATAATATATTGTTCGTTTTATTGTACGTGGCCTGGAAAGAAAGATGCGTCGTATTTTACTTACATAAACTGTGCGCCGGTCGCTACCAAGGCGGCTCGCTTGCCACAGGGCTTAATGTCGATCGAGCCGAAGCTGCCCAGTAGCGACGCCACCTGCAAAACAATTCACACGATGACACTTAATGTGAAATATTGGCGTGACAATGCCATTGTGAATCTATGTATAGTACGACGGGTCTTTCAGGCGCCCGATTATATCAAACGACAACGCTCCGGCAGCGGCTATTTATAATTTAACCTTAAATCAACCTTGACAGTGACATGAAAGATGAGGTTCCGTACATTAGAGAAATCAAACACCGACCGACGCTTTTCGTTAAAAAAACACGGCCAGATGTAAAAATAAAGAGTTTTCCTTGTGACACTTGGGCATTATCAATCTGTTTAGGGTCCGTTCACACACCGGCTCGGAGAGGAGAGATTTTTATCACGTTGGAAACAGAGTTTTGACTGATTGTAGTAAAGTTTATTTTTGCATGTGGACTTTTTTGTCATTAAGAATGCTTGAACGCGCTGCGTGTGACATAATAAAAGAAGCCGACCGGTTCCGATGCGCGAGCATCTGCTTTCAGTGTGCTTAGTGCGAGTTTTTTTACGTTCTCGATAGCGTAAAAGTTAGCCCAATGTTGTATGCAGTTGGAATAGCGCCCCTAGCGGCAAACGTAGGTAAACGATCCCATTCCATACAAGTATGAGCTAACTTTTACGCTATCGAGAACGTTAAAAAGCTCGCACTAAGCACACTGATCTCTTCCAGCCGGTCTATATGTGAAATAGTTGGCGGCTCCGCTCTGGTCAATTCCAAACTTATACGATCAGGTGTGTGTGGAAAGAAAAAAGCGGGCCCATGCTGTCCGAGCCGGTCTGTGTGAACGGACCCTAAAACTACTGGCAGCGGGAAATATGTGAGCGGCGTGCGGGCTGTGCGTGTGGGAGTGAGCGAGCGTGCGTGTGCGTAGCTCTGTCACTGGCCTCGCGCCAAATGTCACTCGCTATCCCGCCACCCTCGGCGTGCCGGCGCACGGTCTCATCGAGGCACGCGACAGTTGAACGACAGCCTCTATTGCTACGGCATAGAGTCGAAGTTTCTGAGACCGTGTCGCGAGATACGTGAGTTGGAAAACGTGGCCCGCCACTACTACTTCACCGGCCGAGGTGACAATTATTACTACCATAACCGTTCTTTAACATACGAGCGCTATTTTTGGCTCCGGGACTCGAGACGGCACCGATGAACCAAACCCTGTTTACAATTTCGATTTAGTATACGATTGAACTAGTTACGCAAGCATAATCTTCGCTTTCAGGTATTACAGATCGAGCAATAAAATGAAGGTATTGTAGCTCGTCTTAGCACGCCGCTGATTCTCCAGAGGCATTAGCAATCTATTTCCAAGACGTTAGAGTTGAAAATTCTCTGTACGTGACCACAATGTAACATAACATGAAATGTAATTTGTATCTGTACACACGGAGCGCGATATGACAGTTTTAGACGAGAACTGACACATAACAGACGCCCTATGAATAGCAAAAAAATATGACTGAATAGTTTAATATTGTTTCGAGAAAATAGGTACCGGTGGTTCGGATATAAATTTCAAAGATTAATATTACGTTATAGCCGGCGCTACAGTCTTTAAAATATGATTATTTACACAAAACTACACAATCGCGGATTTTTTTTATGAAATTTCTCATTAAATTAATTTTTCTTTCACTATTTTTTTCAGTTCAAGCCTTATGTTCAGGAAATCAGACTTGAATTTTATTGTCTCAATGTTATGAAGAGATGAGGTGGTGCTATTCTAGACACCAAGCATCCACACATTGAGGTGTTTCTAAAAAAATATAAGATCCGTTCCTTATAATTTTGTGCAGATATTAAGTTATTAAATGACTATACGTGTCCCGCTATTCTATTCGTTCCATCCATTGTATTTTTAGTTCAGAAATAATGAAACTTGTTTTATTTTCTTGAGATTAAAATTAGCTTTTTTTATTGTAGATTGGTTATTACGTAAAATCACGAAAAAGCGAGCATACTGTCGTATTTATTATGCCAGATATACACGACGGAGGTTGTATAGTTTTTCTTTTTTACCAAGTATCATTTGTTTTGATCCAGGTTATAAATATCTTTGTGTGAAATGTATAACCAAATAAATTATATAACCAAATCCCTTTACAATATTTTGCGTATTTGAGTAAAAACGTACAGACATACAGAATGACAAATTTCGATGTATTAGTATGAATAAGACAGCACCATTAGTCAGATGAAATTTTTCATACTCTAAATCTCGACACTAAGGAAATTGTTAAATTTATTTTATAGTCAAAACTATTTGGTGATTGATAGTGCACAAAAGGAAACTGACAAAAATAATTTATTAAAAATTCGCGAATTTTTCATCAGGTTGAGAATCCTTGTAGTTCATAAATATTTAAATTAGGAATTCCTTAAATTCTAATATCTTCATGGTCAATATACAATATTTATGTAATGGCTTAAATATCTATGTGGTAATCGTTTACCAATTTTTTTATTTACGGTCAGTTGTTATCCTCCTTTTAGTCTATTTATTCTCAATTTGAATTCTTAGGAAAATGACAGCAATTATTATTTTAAAGATACGGACTTTTGGAAAAACTCGAGAATCGAGCACGGCCATTTTGTCCCAATTCTCTTGCATTTTGTTAAGAGCTAAGTAATCTCCTGCACTCTTACTGGGAAGTCATCCTAGAAAACTAAATTAGACGGTATGTTAACAAAATGAATTATGATAGTTACCTTTTCAACGTCTATGACGGTGTCTTTTAGACATTTAACGTGCAACAAGACAGGTCTGTTCCGAGGTGGATCGTTTTCTGAGAAATTCTGAAACAAATAAAGTTTTTTATTTTATTTGCTCTAAAATTGTTTGTTAAAGGTAAAATGCAAAAATACAAATCCGCTTTGTTTCACCGGTTCTTTTCAGACCAGCGGTTTTTTTTCTTGGTATCGATGTTCAGTTAATTTTGACATTGAATTATTATGATTTCATGACATCCAATCAAGTTAATTAATAATTTTCAATTTGTGAGATTCCCTTTTTCTCTCAAAAAGTTTTAGTAACATGTTTAAAACCCGAAAATTAATGACATCTGGGTGGGTTGGGTAGTTAATCAATGACTTGATATAGTAGATCTGACTAGCTACCAGGGTATTTTTTAGGATTCAATACAATAAATCCTACCACCTAATAGCCCATGCGGCTCAGTGTTCCATAAAATAATATTGAAAAGCTCTCACTAAATAACTCACGGAAAAAATATTGTCTATTTGAATCCAGAAGATTGATTTATTGTGAAATGTTAATGTTACTTCAAATTTGTATGAACAACTTTATTTTTATTCACTGTTACAAAAATTTGATTGTACTCAATCAAAATCGTTTTTTCAATTCAATTTCAAAGTGTTGCGCAATTGATTGTCTCGAAGTAGTGAAGAGTGGAAAGTATTTTTTTGTAAAGTTGTAGATGAAAATACTGCAGATGAGCAAATGAGCTTACGGACCACCTAGTCAATGGTTACTGGATCAAGACAAGAAACTGGTACCAAATCGATAAAGCGGCACGACACGAGAACCCTCTCATCGAACCCGTAACGCTCGACGAGTAAATTAACCCTCCGACACAGCCCACTGAGTTTCTCGCCGAATCTTCTGTGGGCCGCGTTTCCGATCCGGTGGTAGGTTCTGCGAAGCACGGCTCTTGCTAGGGCCAGTGTTAGCAACACACGCGGTTTGAGCCCCGTGAACTCACCTACTAGTTAAGGTTACGCTGAAATAGCCTCTCAAGGCACTCAGCTTAGGTAGGAAAACAAAAACAAAAAATGGTACCAAATCAGAACGTTACGATATATACGTTTAATATCAAACATTAACATTAGCCATTAGATTTATAAATTTAAAAACATTTCGGCTTTAATTTTTATTAATTTTTTGTTGTTGCCTCTGTTGACAGGCGAGGATATGGCCCACCTGATGGTGAGTGGTTACCGTCGCCCATGGACTTCAGCAATACCAGGGCCAGAGCCAAGCGGCTGCCTACCGTTAAGTACTCTCAGCAAGCCTCGTTTGAAGAAGAACATGTAATAGCGCTCGGGAAAGACATAATATTGTATGTTTTACCATACTATATTAAACTTATTAGAATAGTACTTACAAAGCGGTGAATGTTTTAGAAGTGGGCAACTTAAAAGTTTCAATTACGCTTACGTGCACTGCAATTTCCAATTCACTACTCACAATTTATGTGTGGAGTGCCATCCCTAATTTTAGGTCCTTAATTTCTGTAGCTCATTGTGCAGGGTATACAATATACAGACATGCAGTTGATAGTTACATAGTAATTTTATGATTGTCTTTTAGCCTTACCATATAAGAAACGCCACCTCTTATAACATTGACCTTGTTGCAGTAAGGCGCTAGGGCTGCGAGTTTCTCCCTGGGTCCGATCACGTGAGGCTTGCCGCGGTTCTCGCAGGCGGCCCAGTGACCGAGCCGTATAAAGCAATAACCTATTGAAAATAAAATAATTCGAGAAATTATATTAGAGTGATTAACTGTTCCTCAAACTTTAATGTTAAATTTATTACTATTAAACTATTTAATGCTAAATTTGGTACATACCTTAGTGAATATGAATATTATAATATTATAATAATAATAATACCGAATTTTCACCTGAACAGTAAGCGTCCCATCCGGCTTCATGATAGCTTTGTTTAACATCAAACGGTGTTGTCAGTCGTACAATGTTGATTCCATATTCAAGTTTCTTACATTTTCTTTCAGCGAAGAATTCATACAAACTGAAAGAAAATGTAAACTTGCCTAATTTTATTTGATATATACTTGAGTGATGTCATGAGCATTCAAACCAAATGGTTTGTTTATGATTGCCACTTAAATACATAAAATATGAAATTATTTTAACCAGTATGTAGAGATAACTTAAGATTTGAATATAATTTTTTTGTCGGAAGTCGAGTGGAGATCTTTTCCCGCTAAGAGGCCTGGTATCGAGTTGGTATTAATGAGGCCTTTATCTAACATGAAATTAAAATGATTAGCTTCTAATAAATATATTTTTTTTATAATTATACTGTTACTTTTCCTCTCATTCCTCATTAATTTTAAGTTTTCTTATTCTAGAGTTATATTATAATTGTTCTATATTAGCGTGGCTAATTGTATTTTAGATCGTCAGGTTTGACAGCACTACACAGGTTTGATAGCACACAGTGGTACTTGCACTCGCTGATCTCCCATGTGACTCAAGGGAGTCTGTGAGATTTTCTCGACAGACCACAAAAACAGAGAAACTTTCGAATGGTAAGTGCTGATGGTTATTGCCATTAAGAAATCGCAATCAAAATTTATTAAGTTTTATAATAATATGTCATATTTTTTTTCTTTTTATCCTACTTATGTTGATAGCCTTGAGAGCCTATTTCAGCGTAACCTTAACTAGTAGGTGAGCTCACGGGGCTCAAACCTGACGACGTTGCCAACACTAACCCTAGCAAGAGCAGTTCTTCGCTGAATCTACCACCGGATCGGAATCGCGACCCACTGAGAAGATCCGGCGAGGAACTCAGTGAGCTGTGTCTGTGGGTTATATTACTCGCCGAGCCCTTCGTCCCAAGCGACGGGTTCGACGACAACGATAACCGGATATGTCATAGGGATAATAATGAAATATTGTGCTAATCGTCAATAAGTCACACCATTTAACGGAGCCGAAATGGGCAATTTTTTTTTATTCAGTAGTGTGACCACAAAATACCCTTTTCAATCTGAAACATAATATGGTGCTTTGCTTTAATTTTTTTATTATTGATGCGTGATATGTAGAAGCTCTCACTCAGTCAGTAGCGGTAGGCAGCGGCTTGGCTCTGCCCCTGGCATTGCTGAAGTCCATGGGCGACAGTAACCACTCACCATCAGGTAGGCCGTATGCTCGTCTGCCTACAAGGGCAATAAAAAAAAAAGCCTATTCGCTCTAAAGTACTTATCTGAGTCCATAGATAAGACGACACTATCTGTCATTATCTATCTTTTATAAAATATCTATTTTTAAAATAGAAAAAAATTCTTTGCGGTAGAATTAGGGAGTGTGGTGATGCTAGCTCTTGTCGGCACACAGTATCCTTTCCACCAACAAATTATTATCTATTTGCCATATTTTCCAATTATTTAAGTATTAAAAAATTAAATGATCAAATTCCATTAAGATACAATCAATGTTCCGAAACTAAATTATGTCGCTAGTGCATACTAGGGCTGACATTTCACTTCATTTTTTTATAAATTCTACTTTACTAATTAATATTATTATTTTTGGATCCTATAGACATTTACAAATAAATGTCTAAAATAACAGTAAAATAAAAAAATCTATTCATGTCTTTTGTGAAATTCATATGGGTACAGAATAGAAATGTGTCACGGGTGTGCAAAAAAATTTTTACAGCAACATCATTCTTCCTCATAAACTTTTCAAAATTAACAAATATATATTTTTTCTAATACTCACTCTTGTAATGCATTAGATTTCCAAGACTCAGAAAAAGTGAGTTTCTTACTCATAGCATGCGATATATATTTAGTATCAAATATAGTTGGAAATACACTGTTAATGTTCTTTTTAAACATTGTATAACTATCCGGTAGTGGTCCTATGAATTGATTGTGAAGGAACAACATATCCAAAAACATGTTGTGTCCTACAATGGGCTTCTTGTGTGTTTCTAGCAGTTTTATTACGTGCAAGAAGCCCAGTAAATAGGCTATTAAGTTATCTTCCAGTATTGCTATTGGTGCATTTTTGGCTCCTTCGACATTTTTGTCTCTGTATATGAGAATCTGAAAGAGTAAATGTAATTTATTTATTTGTTGTTCCTGAATAATTTAGCGGCAGTTTGAAAAAAAAAGAAATATTGTCAATGAATCAGACGTTTAAATAGAAAGAGCAAGTTAAAATCAAGTCAGGCATATGTATTGTCTCTCAAATTTTAGATATATGTATATAGGCTGAAGTATGTACATTCTTGTTGTGGTCATTTATATTATTTTAATTCACTTTATGTTATAAGTGAAAACTAAGTTTTTTTATATACGAGCGAGACATATTTTATATTAATAAAATTACAAGTTTTTTTTTATTGCCGTACAGGCCACCATCAGGTGGGCCGTATGCTCAGACGAGCACCTGATGGTGAGGGGTTACCGTGGCTCATGGACGTCAGCAAAGCAAGGGGCAGAGCTAAGCTGCTGCCTACTGTTTTATTTTACTTAAGTTCAACATTTTAAAACATATTTTTTCTCCCTACATAATCAGTGGTAGCCTAAAGGGCTATGTCAGTTATGCTTGAATGGAAAAACAGATTTTCATAGACGATTCAAAATAATACTACACTTGTCTAGCTTAAATTACCTTCTTGCTATTACCTAAGCTATCTGTAGTCAGGATACCAGGATAACGTTGTCTTAGCTCTAAGTGCAGCAAGTACCGGCAAATAGCATTGTCAATATCTAAGTACATTGTGTCCTCTACACTCGATGACAACCATCTGGAATTTATAACATAACATGATTAATTGATTTCACTGCATGTTTTATTAAAGGCAGTGAATAAAAATGCAGATTCAATCAGATACAAAAAAATGACTACTACTTAATTAGGTTCAGATTGGTAAACTGTTATTTGTTATCTATTCAGAATATTAATAAGCCTTTAGACTTCCATAACAATGTACTGTGTATATAATATAAAACTTTTAGTAGTTAAATTCTGGAAGGGGATCAGTTTAAAATAAAACATTTTTTTAGTCTGAGTAGACAAACAGAATGCAGAAAAATAATTCATTTTACTCTGATTTAATCTTACTTTGAAACTTCTGAAGAACATTGGTTGATTTGCTTCTCTTCATCAAATTCAAGAGACTCACTGACATAGTCAAACAGGTTGTTTTCTATTCTGTATCTGTTTAACAATGCCTCATCACTCTTGCTAAGATATGGAAGGCCTTCATAGATGAACTGAAAAATAATACTTTCATGTCTAGTTTTTATAGAAAACATCTGGCCATCGGAACCATATTGTATTTTATGTCTTAGTGTGTTTAAGAGCAGAAGATAAACAGGACAGATTGGTCTACACCAGCCTTTCTCAAAGTGGGCAATAACGCCCCTTTGTGGGCGCTGCAGACCTAAAGGGGGGCAGTAAGAGACCCAGAAAAAAAAGGGGGTGTTGTGTAGAGGCTTGGGAAACGATTTGTAATTTCATCTAGGAGGACCCTTAGACACCGACTAAGCTCTCGCTATAGTAGTTTTTAAGTAGGTTGAAAAATGGGGGCACTAAAAATAATTTATCCTCAAAGTGGGCAGTAGACAAAATAAGTTTGGGAACCCCTGGTCTACACCAATCATCCTACCTGCAGTCTTCAGTGTACCCATGATCATGGGATTTAGAATAGTACAAAAATATTGGGAACTCATTAAGTGTAAAAATTATAGTAAGAACCCATTAAAAATAGTGGGTAAAATAATGTAGTGAAAGTAATTTACAAATAAATGGTCTCACCTTATTGAAATCGAAATTGTGTTTACATAAAAACTTGAGGGTTGAGGCTTGAAATATGAGCGACTGATTTATCCTTCCAATTAGTTGTGGACACAAATGAAATGTATATCCAGTTGCAAGGTATGCATCTAATTCTCTATCATATTGAAACATAGTCAGTCCTACTTGCATCATTTTCATTGTGCTTATTTGTGTTTTGTACTTATTGTATCTTTCTTCATTTGTGTCGAACAAGCTGAAATATTATATTAAATTTCAAAATTAATATAGATGATCTGAATGCTTTGATAACTCTTATAATTTATTTTATAAAAAAGCGACCAGTATTTTTAATGCACGATCTTAAAAGTTTGTATGTGGAGTTTAAGCTTTTTTACTTTTTTTACTTTTACTTTTAGATGTTCAATAGATGTTGTGTCAATTAGTTAAACAATTTATAATACCTGTATTTGAACGATTCTCTGGTAAGTATAGCTGAAAACTCTGCATCAAAACTTATAAAACACGAGTCTTTTATATTTTTTGCTATGTTATCAAGTTCTTCATAAAAGTTTTCTTTGGTGATATCCATTTTTGATAAACTTAATATTGAGTATAATACACGCTACGCTTTTAGTTCATTTAAATGAACGTAAATCTAAATCGTAGTATTAATTTAAGTAGTAGAATTTTCTTTTCAGTCGTCCCGTCGTCCGAAATAAAATTATAAAACACCGCATGGAAGATTTTATGACCTGGTAACTAAGACCTTTAAGTCATGTCTTATTTTAATTTATATTCTTATTTTTATGAAAAATTATAATATGGAGTGAAATGAAATGAAGACGATTAATTTGAGACATTAGTCAACTTGGATGAAATTAAAAGAAATGAAATTATATGGGATGAAATATAATCTTAGTAAAATGGTGGTCATTTACTGAGATTTTTTCAGAGGACTTTTTGGAGGATCCCGAGAAGTTATGTCCAGCGGCTTTGTTTAATTTTCCCACATTTGTGCACTTTTACAGATATTAAAAGTTAATAAACCACCGTTATTACACATTTTTAAACCTGAAGAAACACTAAATAAACAAAATAAAACAAATCACACAACTTCACTCCTCGCGTTCCCGCCAAAAAGTCTCCGCATGGAAGATACTGAAGATAGCACATTAGATCGGTAAAGTTTGCTTATACTCTAAGGGTATCGTATTCTAACATAAGGTACATTATTTATGAATAATGTTAAAAAACGAACTCTATGGAATAATGATTGCTTATGTGTATGCTCTGTGTAGTGCCACCAGCTCTCAAAAACATTTGCCTCTAAAGCTAAAACAAAAACTCTTAATATTACAACATTAAAAATTTAAAGTTTTGTTATTAATCTTTGTTTTTAAACTCTATTCAAATTTTAATATCCTTCTCGGTTTTTCCTTTAAAATGTTATATTTTGATTTTAAAATACATTGAATATCGTTACCTACCTTTGTAATACTTTGTATATATAGTGTTTGTTTTTATCTCTGAAGATTTAGTAATTAAAACAACGTAGTATACAGAGAGACGTACTTCCACTGTATTTCTAATTAGCACAACTATATTGTAAACATTACAACTTTTTTTGGAACCGGTGGTAGATTTAACATTGTTATTTGTATTTTGACATTCAACAAGTGTGTCATACTGACATCTAAGTTGAAATAAATGATTTTGAATTTGAATTGAATTTGAATTAGAATCATTTATTTTCATTTAACTATGCATTCTTAGCAACGAATAGCTGTACTAGGTTTACAACTATGTCATTAGCAAATTCAATTACGCCAAGGTCCAACTTAACAAAAAGCTTATAAAAATATTAGTCGTTTAAAGGTTCCTTCTCACTTATTTAGCCCTTAGGTTTGGGGTAAAAACTACTTTGCAGAGAACCCTAACTTTTTGACAAATAGTGCTGAGGATGTTTGGTTGAAAAATGAAATTGAAAACTTTGACAATAATAATCATGTGTAATGAATGGACCAAACCAAAGACCAAACGTGTCTACAGTTAAGCCATGGTTTTTGATAGCTAGGGCTAATTAGATGTTTCGGTCATTATGATCGTAAGAGTCCTTACTGACTAGGATTGGCTAATGCCATGTTACCTTTTTTTTTTTTTTTTTTTTTTTTTTTTTTTTNAAAATGAGTTAAAGCCAACAAAAATTGTTCGTTCACGGAGTGTTGCAAAAAAAATGGTGGCCACGTTTGTCTCCAAAACCGGCCATGTTACGACTATTCCTCTTGAGGGACAAAGAACGGTTAATGCAGAATGGTATGCTAGCATTTGTTTGCCACAGGTCGTTTCTGAACTCCGTAAAGAGAACTGCAACCGCCGCATCGTCCTCCATCACGACAATGCGAGTTCTCATACCGCGCACAGAACAAAAGAGTTTTTAGAGCAAGAAAATAGAATTATGAGACCATCCGCCGTACAGCCCCGACCTAAGCCCTAATGATTTCTATACTTTCCCTAAAATAAAGAATAAATTGCGTGGACAGAGATTTTCATCACCTGAAGACGCCGTGGACGCCTACAAAACGGCCATTTTGAGACCTCAACTTCCGAATGGAATGGTTGCTTCAATGATTGGTTTCATCGTATGGGAAAATGTGTCAAATTTCGCGGAGAATACTTCGAAAAGCAATAAATACATTTTTAAATAGTAATGTTGTGTCACTTCGTTAATTCCCGAAATTTTCAGTGCCGCCTATGTATGGAGTGAAATGAAATGAAGACGATTAATTTGAGACATTAGTCAACTTGGATGAAATTAAAAGAAATGAAATTATATGGGATGAAATATAATCTTAGTAAAATGGTGGTCATTTACTGAGATTTTTTCAGTGGACTTTTTGGAGGATCCCGAGAAGTTATGTCCAGCGGCTTTGTTTCATTTTCCCACATTTGTGAACTTTTACAGATATTAAACAGTTAATAAACCACCGTTATTACACATTTAAGCCTGAAGAAACACTAAATAAACAAAATAAAGCAAATCACACAACTTCACTCCTCGCGTTCCCGCCAAAAAGTCTCCGCATGGAAGATACTGAAGATAGCACATTAGATAGGTAACGTTTGCTTACACTCTAAGGGTATCGTATTCTAACATAAGGTACATTATTTATGAATAATGTTAAAAAACGAACTCTATGGAGTAATGATTGCTTATGTGTATGCTCTGTGTAGTGCCACCAGCTCTCAAAAACATTTACCTCTAAAGCTAAAATAAAAACTCCTAATATTAGAACATTAAAAATTAAAAACCCGTCAAACAAATTTGTTTTGTTATTAATCTTTGTTTTTAAACTCTATGCAAATTTTAATATCCTTCTCGGTTTTTCCTTTAAAATGTGATATTTTGATTTAAAATACATTGAATATCGCTACCTACCTTTGTATATAAAGTGTTTGTTTTTATCTTTGAAGATTATTATTAATAAAAACAGCGTAGTATAGAGAGAGATGTACTTCCACAGTATTTCTAATTAGCACAACTAACAAAGTAACCACCGATTAGCTATTGTAAATATTAGAATCATTTATTTTCATTTAACCATGTATTCTTAGCAACGAAGAGCTGTACTAGGTTTACAACTATGTCATTAGCAGATTCAATTACGCCAGGGTCCAACATAACAAAAAGCTAACAAAAATATTAGTCGTTTAAAGGTTCCTTCTCACTTATTTAGCCCTTAGGTTTGGGGTAAAAACCACTTAGCTGGGAGCCCTAACTTTTTGACAAATAGGGCTGAGGATGTTTGGCTGAAAAATGAAATTGAAAACTTTGACAACAGTACATAATCATGTGTAATGGCCGGACCAAACCAAAGACAAACAAAGCCCCTAAGGCTACCAGTGAATAGGTAGGGAAATATTTTGTTTTTACTGGTGGTAGGACCTCTTGTGAGTTCGCGCGGGTGGGTACCACTACTCTGTCTGTTTCTGCCGTGAAGCAGTAATGCGTTTCGGTTTGAAGGGTGGGGCAGCCGTTGTAACTATACTTGAGACCTTAGAACATATCTCAAGGTGGTTAGCGCATTTACGATGTGGATGTCTATGGGCTCCAGTAACCACTTAACACCAGGTGGGCTGTGAGCTCGTCCAACCATCTAAGCAATAAAAAAAAATTGTTGTTTATTATAGTTAAAAATTAAATTGATTGTCGTGACTTGCGTATAAACATGAACTATTTGAAACTACAAGCGCGCCATCTGTCGTACGTTGATCGTGATTATTAAAATCCATCCAGAGTAAAAAATATCCATCCATCTTCACAAGTCTTTGCATTTATCGTTAGGTAGCATAGTGCATGGCGGTAATCCGTAAGCCCTAACCTACATGTCCTCGGGATACTTTTTGTCCACCTTCAATATGATAGTAAGAGGATTTAAAGTAAGCCTGATTTCTCGAAGCTGCTTTTGCCTAAAATAGCACCACCCCATCTCTTCTCGTGGTTATCGTAGAAGATGATTAAGTAATTCGCCAGAGAACAGGCAGAAGCGTTCTCTGAGTATTTATACCACCGTAAATAAATCACCAACCGGTAAGTAATGGTGATGTATTGCAATTCTGCATCATTAGGTTGTTACCTCATTATGCAGCGGTCTATACTTTTTTTTTATTGCTTAAGTTTGTGGACGAGCTCACGGCCTACCTGGTGCTAAGTGGTTACCGGAGCCTATAGACATCTACAACGTAAATGCCGCCACCCACCTTGAGATATGAGTTCCATGGTTTCAGTATAGTTACAACGGCTGCCCCACCCTTCCAACCGAAGCGCATTACTGCTTCACGGCGGAAATAGGCAGGGTGGTGGTACCTACCCGTGCGGACTCACAAGAGGATTCTACTACCAGTAATTACGCAAATTATAATTTTGCAGACTTGATTTTTATTAAACGATGCTATTCGTTCACCGTGGAAGTCAATCGTGAACATTAAGAACATTTGTTGAGTACGTATTTCATTAGAAAAATTGGTACTTGCCAGCGGGATTCGAACACCGGTGCATCGCTAGACACAAATGCACCGGACGTCTTATCCTTTAGGCCACGATGACTTCAAAACTTCTTTTAATTTATAAACTTCTTTTAATTTAGGTACTTCGACTTCTTTTAATTTAAATTGTAGGCACGTAGTTATGCGTTTCGATTTAAAGCGTACGACAGCAGTTATAGCAGTGCAGCAGTGGGTGGCGGCATTCACTTCTGATGTCTATGGGCCCCTGTAACGATTTTACACTAGGTGGGCCGTGACCTCGTTTCACCACTCACGCAATAAACCAATAAAATATTCTAATATTATAAAATATATTCTAAAGATATTAGTTACAATGATTTTAATTATTATGCTCATAAAACACATAGTTTAAATGTTTAAAATGTGTCTAGCTTAGTAAATGCCATTGTTTTGAGTTTCTGTGCGTGTGTGTATTTTTTTTAGTATTTCCACTTTTTGAATGGTTTGTTACGCCCTGAAGCTTTCGATTATTTGTTTAGATAAATTTTAGGTATTTAATTATCTATTCTATATGACTAGTTTACACACAACCATTGCGCACAACAATGAACTATAAAATATTATCAATTGACCAACCTTGAAAACCATTTCGCATTAATTGTATTTAAAATATTTTAAACGCCTTCGTAGATCAATCAATCTTAAGGAATCAACATCTGGATTATGAGATATAGAACAGGATCTCAAGACGTTGAAAATATTTACATATTTATATTGGCATATTCTTGTTACGTCAATCTCACGGTATATTAACTGGTGTTGCTTTGTGATGTGATGACACTTCTTCTTCGTGTTCTTAATAATTAATAAACTGGATATATTTGTACTCAAAGTAAAAAAAAGGGTGCGTGTACTTATGTACGCGTGTAAGAAGTTATATATATATATTTTAAATATTAAATTATTAATAATAAATATTTAACGTTAATAATTTAATAATATTTAGTATGAATTATACTAAATAATAATTTTGTCATTTATATTACTAAAAAATGAATGCTAATAACACTTTTTTTACGAGTGTACATGCGCGAAAGTTCACCTGCGGCTATATTCAGATTCGCCAAGTTACGTCGGTCGTATTGTAATGAGCGATTTAGTGGTCAACTTCATTCTGTTAATTTTGTGTCACGGTGCGCGCGCATCGTAAAATTTCACTCTCATCAATTTTTCATAACGCGCCTAAAGAAGTATAACTTCAAAAATATCAAAAAAATATCCGTGATCCTATGTTTTGTTCATAATCAAATATTATTAACCTTGTTACTTCCAATCACTACAGGTCACTTCTGTTAATTTCGTTTATCATAGTTACTTACGTTTAGCACGCTCGATCACTTTAAGTTTTTAAAGTGAAAAGCTTATCACTAGAGTATCTTTAATGAAATTTGAATTTTTTCAAATACTTTTTATTCCTATTTCGTTCGTTACCGTAAGTTACTGGTGTTTGAATGTAAGTTGAAAGGATTGGTATTCATAGATATTTAGGTATTAGCGCTTGGAAGCTAAATCGTATGTCCCTTTTATTGTTTGAGAATATTTTCCTGAGATTCAACTAGAATATTCAACTTGTATAATCTAGCGTATAGAATTTATCTTCTAGATATCAACAGTCTGGCATCAAATAGATAATTTAAAATTCTGGATACCAAAATTTAAATGTAAAAATTGAGTATATGAAAAATATAAAAGTAAGGTTCGAAGCATTACTTTTATCTTTATCTTAAACAGAATTACACATTCTGAAATTACATTCTCATCCAACAATTTTGTTTTGTGCTCAGCATGTGAGTTATTTTGAAGTATGTGCGTATGTATATGCCGTCGAATGGGAGAATATCATAATTGTTGCACAACATATCGTTACGCAACCTCATAGAGAGAGTTCATTCTTTGCCAATTTGTTTCTGAATACGAGGTCCAATCAGGGCTTCGAATTTTCGCCTCAGGCCTGCAGCATTCGTTGCAAAACAATTACTGTGAACTGACTGACTAGCCACATTACCAGTTACCAGTTGATGGTCGTCTCGCGTCGTCGTGCGCGGCACCGCTGCCCCACTTTACAAGCGCGTTCACAACTTTTTTTGAAAGGTTTCGCCATATAACGTACGTCATTCAAACATGTAAACAGTGACTCGTTACATGCAAGTTAAATTAAATATAAAATGGAGCCGCCGAAAACCGCGATGGAAGTGCACGGTGTGCCAGTGCAGAAACCAAATTACATGCTCATGTCCTTACAAAGGATATTAGTGCTTGTTATTATATTCGCATGCGTTCTAATTGTAGTGCGCTACACACCGATGCCTGGTAATTACGGTTTATGAACTAATTAGCAATACGCCTATGTCACCTTCACACTTTCACACTATTCATGGGACGTGCGTATAAAGCAGAAGTTGTCAACATTGAAAATAATTTCATAATTGAGAAAAGTTTTTTGTAGTACATATCCAATGAACACCACATTGATTGTCAAATAAAGGCGATTACCAAATCAAATATCAATTAAATGTCAATTAGATCAAATATCAATTAAATGTCAATTAGATCAAATATCAATTATCAACATTAACGAAAATGAAATTATATTTATCCGTGTTTTAGCCACGAAAATTTTTTTGTAGGTAAAGTTACGCAAACTAAGACCCTAACGTTGATTTATAAGCTGTCTGTATTTAAAATACACGTAAAGCTTCTGTATCCTTGACCCGGTTAGCAATTGTTACCTTAGAGTAATTACAGGTCATTAATACGAAGGTAAAGGGAAGATATTACTATAATTTTGAAATTTTATTTGCAGAAGAATACTTTGAAAACTGCGACAGAGAATGTCATGAATTAGACTGGCCAATGATTTGTCGTGTGAAACTAGTAATCGAAGTCTACAAAACTCTTAGCAAGTAAGTGTAAAATGTAGATGTAATTTTATTGTGCAACCACGTAACAGTGGCATTTAGAATTAATTGGCTTCGGAATCACTTTTGAGTTTATTTTACGGTTAATTCATAATTGTTATCTTCTTTCACAGATCTTGTGGCAATTGTACTGATAAAGATGGAACAGGAGAGTGTCCGTCCACGTGTATATCCGCAGACGGACGGGAGCGAGGTGTTCTCACAGCGAACCGTGCTTTACCAGCACCAACGCTTCACGTCTGTCACAACGATATCCTCGTAGTCGATGTAGTGCATAGAGCTCCGGCTCATGCGTTATCTATCCATTGGCGCGGTCAACCACAAAAGGAAACGCCCTTTATGGACGGAGCCCCAATGTTGACACAATGCCCGCAACCTGCATATACTACATTTCAATATAAATTCCGAGCATCTGCAGTTGGAACACATATGTACCACGCTCACTCCGCAGCGGACGCTGCTGATGGTCTTGCAGGCGCCCTTGTGGTCCGACAATCTCCTCGTCAAGACCCATTGAGGAAACTGTACGACACTGATGCTTCGGAGCATACAATATATGTTTCCGAATGGGGTCATTCAATGGGACCCTTGGCGGGTATGATGTCGAATGTTCCTAAAGCTGAATCGCTTCTCATAAACGGGAAAGGAAAGACCGTTGAAAATATAGATGCACCGTTAACTAAGTTTTCCGTTGAATATGGAAAGCGGTATAGATTTAGATTAGCATACGGTGGAGGATCGAAGAGTTGTCCTATTCAATTTTCTATTGAAAAACACGTTCTCACTCTGGTCGCTTTAGATGGAAATGGAATAGAACCGGAATATGTTAATTCTATTGAATTAGGTCGAGGGGAGCGTGTTGATTTTATACTAGAAGCCAAAAGAGCTCCGGGCGTATACAAAATGTCCGTTGTGGCGCATCCGGATTGTCAAGATAATTTAAAAGGTGTAGCTGAGTTGGTTTATACAAATAAAGATAAAGCAGTGTTAATTAAAGACATTGACGAGTTAAATAAAGTTTATCGTAAGTTTAGCACAGTGATTAGTGTGCAGTGTGAGGACGAAAGCGTCTTGTGTTTGACAGAGGCTCGTGGCTATGAGCAGATGCCCTCTGAACTGACAAAGACTCCCGACCGGACTCTCTATGTGCCTTTTAATTATTCCACAAGAAGAATATCAGCGAAGCGAGTCGGTAAGTGAAAAAATCTGTTTTGTTTCTTGAAGTTAACGCTTTGCAAATATAATTATTAATTTAGTTGAAAATTTCATAAAATAATTAGTTTTGCAGCTAATTTGAATTTAGGATAAAGTAAGAGGGTATCACGAGCGAACTTGGTGCATTTAGTAATTTTTTTTGCGTGTTAAGGCGTAGAATCACTTTTAAATGTTTATATTAAACAGGAAATTGTAATAAATTTATGATTTTTTCTTTGTGAACATCGAAATGAACAGGTTTCTAAAACTAGTTAAGTGTCGTTATGAAATTATCTTTAAAATCTAAATTATAGGCTGCCCAGTAGTAATTATATGTGAAACGCAAAAGAAAACGTAACAAAACACCCAAACATGATTTCCCGACATCAGAAATACTAAGATGAATCTTTTTTTTGCAAAAATCGTCCTTATCTGATTTCGTGTGTGTTTTTTGTTCTTTTTAATGTCGATAAGTCTATTAGAATCCACTAGTATTTGAAATAAATTAATTTCACACTGAAAGGTTGAAACCATTTTTTTTTGCTTAGATGGGTGGACTAGCTCCCGCCCAGCCCACCCAGTGTCAAGTGGTTACCGGAGCCTATAGACATCTACAACATAAATGCCGCGCCGCCCACCTTGAGATGAGTTCTAAGGTTTCAGTATAGTTACAACAGCTGCCCCACCCCTTAAACCGAAAGGCATTACTGCTTCACGGCAGAAATAGGAAGGGTGGTGGTACCTACCCGTGCGGACTCGCAAGAGGTCCTACCATCAGTAAAAAGCTAGCACAAAAACTCTAGCTTGTTACTTGGAACATTTATTGTAATAATATAGTTTGTAATATTATAGTTTTAGAATAACTTTGTTTATCAAATTATGGCTTTTTTTATGACTTTTCTTGTTAATGCTGCATTTGCTATCGATAACAATGTGTTTAACTACTTTTAAGAAGTAGCGTTCTTAAAACAAAATTCGTAAACCCTTTGCTTAGTCTTTTTTTTATAAATGAAACTAGTTGACCCCGTATATTTCGTAGTGCCTCAATCGAGAAATAAAATACCTAAACTTTTGTATAAAATAAACTTAAAACAAACAAAAAGAATCCGTCCTACGCGGGACACATCAAAGGGAAAACAAAATTGTTATTTTTAATTAATTCCGAGCATTTTCTTAATTATCTACCTTTTAAACCTTCTCTGGACTACCACAAATAATTCAAGATCAAAATTATCCAAATCGGTCCAGCCGTTCTCGAGTTTTAGCGAGACTAACGAACAGCAATTCATTTTTGTATATATAGATACAAAGAGAAAATAGAAAGATTTGTTATATATTGTTGCTAGCAGTTTCAGCTGTTTTTCAAAGTTTATATACTTAGAGCATATAGTTTATAAAATCTTAAGATGCGTTTCTTTTGGTGCTACCTAGTCGTTCGGAATCTAGACTGTCGGTATCACACGAAAGAGGTTGATTAGTTTTTCTTTTTTGATGAATTTCATCGGACCATATCGAGTTATTTTTGCATAGATTCACTGATAAAGACTTATGTAAAGATTGTTTTTTTTTTTTAAATCGTTTCATTATTTCAAGATTACTTCGAGCGAACTTGATTGGGATTCATAAATTTCATTTATAATGTAATTAATCAACGTAGATAACATTTCATAATTAATTAAATTATCGGACTGCTGAATCTATCTACCTTTTCAAACATGTATTTTTTTAATATTCCACATGGCCGATTGTCTAGAAAATCAGATTTACATTAATGTTTTCATACAAAGGTTAGTACTAACAACAGATAGCTAGTTCAAAAACAAGTTTATATATTCAATAGCCTATTCAATAGTCTTTCATAATAATCTCTAGTGTTCGTTAGCAATAGTTATAATGGTTTTTCTGTGATTTAATTTTACAGATTTACTTGTTATTGGTGGTATTGGGATTATCAATCCAATGTTTATATAAAATGTTTATCACCGTCCGTCCGTTCACACGGGATAGAAATGAAACTTTCAGAATGATCCTTGTGAATATGTTTGTTTCATTTAGTATCGCTTTTTCGTTTCATGTAGATTCAAATCACAATAATGCTAAAGATACATGGTATTCGACGATAAAGATACCAGATAAGAAAACAGTTAGATTCTATTAATCAAATAAATATCTTTGAAGATACTGATCTGATTCCCATTGTCAGTAGTCAGGTTCATCAATCACTAGAAAAATGACATGACCAATAAGAAATAATCGATACAAGATATAATAAGATTCATTATAGCTGTTATAAAAATAACTCAAAAGAGTCTTTAAATACAATTTGCTCGAGATTGTTTGACTTAAAAAAAACTTACACGACGGGTATTCGCCTTGACCTTAAAGTTGTTGTATTCTTGCTAATCGGAAATATTCGAATTTTTAAACTGACTCGATAAGCGTCATTAAAAGAAATCGTTTACAAAACGTTAAGATCTTTTCAAAGAAAATCACAGCGTAATTTCTTAATTTGTTTTCTCGTTTTTAAACGTTTCGACCCACTTGGCTTTTTTAACAAAGAAAATTACGATTACCTCTCAGAAAACAATAATGAGCAAAATTTTTTTTCGACTTTGTTTCTTAGAAAACAGCGACGAGCTAACCGATTTGCCAAATTCAAGTAGCAGTACTTGTACAATACTAATGAACCTTAAAAGAAAGTAATGAAATACATTTTTATACGAATCATAAAATCGCGTGAAAGTAAAAAAGAAGAAGTTTGCATTTTGCAACCATTTCGATTTGCATTCCATATCATGTCAAGAAATATATACTTTTTTCCGATATTCCTGAAATATATATACTAAATTTACTTAGACCTAGAATAGCAATCATTCTCTTATCATGAGTGTCGTAAAAAGCATTTAAGGTACATATTTACTGGGCGGCAGCGTTGCCTGGTTATCATACTAGGATGCTGCGATCGTCAGCCGGAATTTGTTGTATTGTACGCCCTGTATTGTAAGCCTGCACGAGGAGGCTCCACTATCTTCGGCCGCAAAGCAGCCATGTGTTCCAGTTTGAAGGCTTAGGATAGCAGCTATGCTGTATAATTCCGAGACGGCCGACGTAGAGTTATCGACTATCGCCTCGATAACCCATAAGTCGGACGTCCTAGGGGTGGCGCCGTTATTTTGGTTCTACAACCCTACGGTTCTATATGGGTTCTGACCCAGGGCGGAGATCGGACGTCGAGTGAGAGAGTGCAAGGTGAGTCGTTTTGTAGGTAGGGCCATAAAACATCCTTGGGCCCGCGGTTTGGTCTCAACCTCTGTAGATCGTCAAGTCTTACATATCCCGCGCATCGCCTAAGCTCGGAAACTACGAATGAGGTTCGGCGCCCTGCCCAAAAAAAAACCAATGTGCTTTCTACGAGTACCGGTAATCACTTAACAATAATTTATAGTCTTATCTCTAATTATGGCTCCAATTATGTTTTATCCCTATTTCTGTTCTAACATTCGAACCTACAATCCTTGTTGCAAAACAAACAATATAAGCCAATTATTAGGGCTGCCTCGAGTTACACAATGACTTTTGTACGAGCGTGAGCAAAAAAAAACACTCATATCATAACATGCCGCGTTCCGTACCTACAATTATAATAGGACGACAAAAGGGTTTTAGGCAATGGCTTTAGGTGACTTGCATTGTAATTTGATTAATTTATATAACTTGTATTATTTTCGATTGTATTTCAACTCCAATGTTTACAACTACAACTACAGTTCTTATAGCAGAATAAACTTATTTCACGGCACTGTGTACTTAATAATAAAAAAATTATATCACCAAAAAGCGCAACATGTGTACCATATATTTGTTTCTTAGCTCACTAATGCCGACTTCTCGTTATCCAAGATAAGCGTTTCGTTTTGCAAGCTCATTTTTTGCCATTTTACGCAATTCTTTATTACGCTCTGTGCATAAGTTAGTAGTTGTAAGAAAGTGAACTAATCACCGTATGTATATGGTCACGTCCGCGCCGACCGCATGTAATGTTGTCTGATTGCTGCATTTGCGCCGGCATCTCTCGGAAACTTGTTACGTTTCCATTCCAGAGGCGGATCGAGTTTGACCTATAGTTATTTATAATGTAAACTTTCGCAATACTATGCATGTCATACAATAATAATATAATACTAAGTTAATTTCTCGACACCGACGGAAATGTAAACAAATTCTTACTGGTGGTAGGACCTCTTGTGAGTCCGCGCGGATAGGTACCACCACCCTGCCTATTGCTGCCGTGAAGCAGTAATGCGTTTCGATTTGAAGAGTGGGGCAGCCGTTGTAACTATACTGAGACCTACTCATATCTCAAGGTGGGTGGCATTTATGTTGTAGATGTCTATGAACTCCGGTAACCAATTGACACCAGGTGGGCTGTGAAATCGTCCACCCATCTAAGTAATAAAAAAAAAAAAATGTACAGTTTGGCGAATCGCTTTATACGAATTGTTTGGTCGTTTTATTTTTGCTTTTTTTACTTTGATGTCTCTATATTCCCAAAATACTAGCACGACGAGCGACGATAGATACACTAAATCCACAAATTCATTGATATCCGATCCGACCTCTATGTCTCCAGGGTATCTCTTCAAGGCCGGTCTTCTAATAATAATATTCATTCAATTCTATTTTTTTAACTTCTCAGTAGCTTAAGTTCGATGATCGATATGTTTGACAAAAATAACAGACTTCAGGGTATTATTTTAAAACAGAACATAGCGTGAAAAACGACGACCAGTGCCGGTGAGTTATGTACGACACAATACACTAAAAATAGCGAAAATCCTTGAATAATATTTTTTTGCGATGCACGCAAAGTAACACAATTACAAATCAAATGACGTGTCGGATCAAGGGGTCGGGGCGTCCGCCCGTTTTCTTCGCTGCAGACAATTCACGAAACTTGACCTTAATTATTGAATATATTAAAACGACAATTTTGATAAT